TTTTTTTTTTCAAAATTTTTGTTATTAAATGTTCTTTTTGGAAAAAAATATAAAAAAATTATTCGAACCTACATCGTTATTTTTTAAATTTTCCGAAAAAACTCCGAATTTCTTGATGAATACCATTTTTAATTTCTTTTTTCTTTTTTTCATATAAAACTTTGACATTTTCTACAAATATCCTGAAATTTTCAGAAGGGTGTTTTTTCGATTTCTATTTTTTTTTTCAATTGAAAAAAAAATTTTTTTTTTTTTAATCTTATTTTTCATAACACCGGTCCAATAATTTCCGGGAACCCTCAAAAAACAAGAAAAAAGTATAGAACCAAAAGTTGAACATGTTAATCATCGAGAAAAATAATTTTTTTTAAAAACAAGGAAAATTGAAAAATAATTGTTTTTTTATTTATTGCTTAATAAATGGTAGGCATTGAAATAAACATTAATTAATATATGATTATAATGTCTCAAATGCAATAATTTTTAAACTCATAAAGAAATTTATTTTCTTGAACGTTTTAATATTTTACACAGTTTAGATTCTGTAGAGCTTGAATAATCTTTAACTAAGAGACAACCATTATTGTCAGGTATAACACAATGAACTTTTTGAGTTTCTACGATGGATTTTGTTTTTGCAAATTGAGTCGCCAAATTTTCATTTGCAACAGTATAATCATCTGAGGGTGAAAATTTAATCGTAATATTTGGCAAGTTATTTGGCTGAGTTGCCCATGTGAAAAGTTAAAATGGAGTTGTTATTTGGCGATCCACAGGCAATTGGAGACTGGCACGTGCGGCCATTCTCTTAAATGTTCCACCAATTCCATCACATGCCCCTTTTCCGTGCGCAGTAGCAAAAAAGTGCCATTCAGCTAAAATTTCAAAATCCTCTTCGTGATAATACAAGTTGACAAAATTTTTGATATTTTTAAACTGTTGAGGTGCACCGTCGGAAAGGTAATAAATTTTTCTCACATTTTCCGAAATAGTTTTTACATAACTTGTTACTATTTTCAAAAAAACGTTAACTGCCACTGCATCATGATTATTGCAATCTGATACAATGACTAAGCTTCTGTGGCATATCTCATTGTTATTTTTGAAATAAATTACTACTGGAAAAACTGTAGCCATGTTATTGTTCCAGTGGAAACCGGATGCAGCATTTTGTATCACAAAAGCGTAATTCTCTGCAAAATCACAGACAATCAAAAATTCATCTTCTTTCAAATTATGCTTTAAAGATTTTAAATAACTGGCTTGTTGCTTAGCGATGTAAGCATGAGGTAAAAGAACCTTTAGGTTATCGCAAAATTGTTCGACGAACTCGTCTGACGACTTTAATATTGTTTCAAGCATACAGCGCGGCGTTGAATTCCAAAACTTGTAGGTAATAGTTTCAATATTGTGCTGATCAAATATATTAGTCAATAAGTCACTAAGTATTTCAGTACCTGGGCAGCTAGCACACTTATTAAAATAACAATCAGGAGATGGAGATTCACACATTAAAAGGTTTAGACAGTTGTCATAATGAGTCAGTGAACTATCCAAATCTTTTGTGAGTGCGCTCAAGTTAGCACCTGCAAAAAAGAATATTTTTTCAAATGTTTCACGGTTACTCAACAATCAATCAACAATAAATGATTAATTAATTACCAAGCATCATCAATTTAATATTTTGATGAATAACACACACACAGATTGTATGTGTGCCACTTGCTCCAGCAAGTACACAATTTCTCGGGCGAAGAGAAGCAAATTTTGAGAAACCGATTTTCTCATCCGGATTTTCATTTCGAAAATGTTGAAATAATTCTTTCAGGTTTGAAAGAACAAGCCTTTTTTGGACCTGGATTTGAGTTCCATCTATATTTTTTATCGAAACATAATCCTTTTTTCCAGGCATGTTAACACTAACAAGATCATCTGTATAAAAATCTAAAACCTTTTGTTTTGAATTTTCAGAAATTGTTCGTCCTGTTAATGTAAATAATTAAACTAAGTGTAAGATTGTAGTTACATGTAAATCAGAAATTATTTATGTTTGCAATTCTATACCTAACTTAGCTTCAGGAATCGCAAGAATTCCTACATCTTCAGATAATTTTTTTGCGACTTGGACCATGTGTCTTGAACTATTCATCATATCACAAATTTTTCATTCACTCCATCTTGATGGTAATATAGTCAGGATTCTAATTTTTTCCGCTGTTGAAGAATTCTGGTCATTAAACTTAGCTTTTAAACGCTCGATTATATCCTGAAAATCTGCTAAATTGACATTTAGATCTGACAGACCATTATCATCAAGACCAAAAAGTTTTATTAGGTTACGAGTGATTTGGTTGACTTTACGATCCAAATAAACTCCATCTCGCAATTTCTTCTTTAAAACTGGTGATTCATTCAAAAGACGTAAAGCTTGATTCACTACTGGCAACTGAGTTTCAATACTGACTTCAGATGCAGAACTTGATTGAATCGGTTGCGATTGAAAATTGTCGGAAGAAAATGATAAAGATTCTGAAATAATAACGTACATTTTAATATTCAAAGTATAAATAAAAACTGGGGACATTAGTTAGTGAAATAAATGCTTTTTTTCTTACCAAAAGATTTTAGTAGTGCAGTAGCTTGACTTGCATGTCCTAAAGATAAATTACATGAACCTTCACAACTGTCACCTTGTCTTTCAGAATTTTCATCATCACTTCTAACGTTGACTTCACAAGCAATATCATCGTCAACGTTTTGATTATTGTCAACATTATCAACATTGTCACCAACCGATTTTGAATGTTTTGCAGATGCGTACACTTTCATTTTACAATCAATGCATAAGACATAATCACCATACATGTTTAGTTCTTTTTTAATAAAGTCATTGGCTTTTCTTAAATTCCTTGTTTTTAAATGGTTTGCTAAGTTATATGGGTTGAAACAGCGGTCGAATCGTGGAGTAGTCGCCATTATTGTTTAATTTTGTTGGTAATTATTTTGAGTATGGCAATTAATGGAGAAAATATAGTTTTTTAGAACGATAAAAACTAAATAAGTGGTATTTAACTTAGAATTATTGATGGTAAACCATACGTTAGGTTATAATTGTTATTAGTGAAGATGAGCTAAGCAAGAAAATATTCTTTAACTTAATATTATTTCTGAAGATGGCACTTTATCAGTTTTTTTTTAAGAAGAGGATTCATAGGTGGCGCAAACTATCATTTCTCGAAGAAGTTTAGAATAATTTGAAAATAGAGTTGGAGCTTTGCAAGAATTAAAAATTTAAAAAGCAATTCTGAGAAGCTTACCTGGTTAACTTTTAGTTCTATATTTTTTTGTGTTTTTCAATTTTATTTGTTTTTTAAAAAAATTATTTTTTTCGATGATTAACATGTTCAACTTTTGGTTCTATACTTTTTTCTTGTTTTTTGAGGGTTCCCGGAAATTTTTGGACTGGTGTTATGAAAAATAAGATTAAAAATAAAAAAAATTTTTTTTTCAATTGAAAAAAAAAATAGAAATCGAAAAAACACCCTTCTGAAAATTTCAGGATATTTGTAGAAAATGTCAAAGTTTTATATGAAAAAAAGAAAAAAGAAATTAAAAATGGTATTCATTAAGAAATTCAGAGTTTTTTCGGAAAATTTAAAAAATAACGATGAAGATAGGTTCGAATAATTTTTTTATATTTTTTTCCAAAAAGAACATTTAATAACAAAAATTTTGAAAAAAAAAAACGTCCCGATAAGTCAATTTTTGAAAAAGTTATGGCAATTTAAAAATAAAAAAGCGGTTTTTTTGAAAAATTCATAACTTTTTTTTGGTTGGGTAAAAAAATTTGAAAAAATTATGAGAGACGTTTTTGATAGGGTAGAAAAAGATGGTAAACTTTCAGCCAAATCAAAAAGGGTCAGGGTTAAAAGTGGTCGATTTGGCGTGGAATGCCCCCTAAATAGACACAGGAGAGGTTCAAAGTGCTATCGCAGGTGCAACGAAATCGGCCATTAAAGGTCATGAAGCTAGAATGAAAAAAGTCTGTTAATTATGGAATATTTATTAAATTATTTTTACATCCTTTAAAAGAATACAAAACAAACTAATTATTACACTGAAAAAAAAGTTTTCTGCTTCGCACGATATGAGATCGCTACTATCACGATCTACACTTTACCATCTAGAGGAGAGTGAGGTTAGGAAAACGGTATACTACGGTAGCTATACGTTTCGTGAATGGCACCGAATATATCGTGACGGTTACGATTCAGACTGCTACTCGTAGCTGTACGGATTGTACCCGTAACGATACACCTTTTACCATACAGTAGATGGCGCCAAGCAGAAAACTTTTTTTTCAGTGTACAAGGCTTCAACTCCAAAATTGAATCAATTTGTAGATTTTTCTCAGGTGGAGTTAATTCAATTACAAAAGTTCCAAAGGCGTTACACGGATTTAGATCGAATATTAAAATTTCCATCGAAATAATACTTAATTAATATATACTTGAAGATATCTCTGAATCCAATATCTTCTCGAAAGTGCGAAAATGTTAAAGATAGAACAGAAACATCAAAAAAGGAAAAAATTCATTCCTTCTCTTTTATTCATAAATTAAATTGTTGGTGCATGATAACAGAAACCGAATATCAAAATGACACTTATGTCTGCTTCGCACGATATGAGATCGCTACTATCACGATCTACACTTTACCATCTAGAGGAGAGTGAGGTTAGGAAAACGGTATACTACGGTAGCTATACGTTTCGTGAATGGCACCGAATATATCGTGACGGTTACGATTCAGACTGCTACTCGTAGCTGTACGGATTGTACCCGTAACGATACACTTGTTACCATACAGTAGATGGCGCCAAGCAGAAAACTTTTTTTTCAGTGTAACTTAAATAAAATTATTGAAAGAATAAAATATTATAAATTATTCACTTTTTATCCAATCGCGGGTGCAACGTAAAACTATCGCGCGTGCTACACATTTCACTGTAGTGAATATAAACATTTCCATGTAACTTTAAATTAAAGATATGAGATCATAGATGCTGTATCACTAATTAGCACTTTCCTATGTAACTAAAATAAATTATTTGTTTGGAATAGTCGGCGACTTATCAGACTTAAGGTTCATCTTCAGAATCGCTGTAAACATCAGAAGCGCGTAACTTTTGCGTAACTTTTTTTGCAACTTCTCTACGTTTTTTTTTAGTAGCAGTTATCAAAACTAATTTGCTTTTCAAATTATACTTCGACGTTCGTGCAACACAAATGCTCTTACCCTCCTCAAATTGAAAAAAATGTTTGGATTGAATGGCCGGTATATTTTTTAGTCCTTTCCACCTATCATATAACATGGTTTTTCCTTTTTTAATTTGTTTTCGGGATACAAATATAAAAGAAATTTTTGGAGAAAGACGACGAGCCAGATCATAAAATTCTTCAGCGTTATTAACAATTGCTTTCCGAGCTTTAATAGCAGTCCACACTGATCTTTTCACACTTCCTCCGAGTCCATCGACGGCACCTTTGCCATGTGAAGCAGCAAAAAAATTCCATTCAAGGTGAGTCAATTCGTGTTCTGCTTTAAGAGTATTCATACTCTCCATTACATATCGGTTCTTGAACTGAGCGGCACAATTGTCGCTGAAGATACATATAGATTTTATATCATTATTTATTGACTGAATGTACTGAAAAATTTTCTGCAGAAAAACATGAACTGTATATTTACTGTGGCTTAGTTCATCGCTTACTATGACCACTGAGTGAAGTTTGTCAGTTGTCCAAGTACAGCACGTAAAAAGCGTCACATGCCCATGACACCAATGAGCTGATTGTATTTTGTCTTGACTAACTAATCTATAGTTTTCAGCAAAGTTAATTTGTACAATGGCTTCCTCGCTGGTCAATTTTTCTTTTGCACTTTGAATGTACTCGGACTGGACATTTTTAACTAAAAAATGCAGCTTAAATTTCGTAGTGTTCTTATACGTAGTTCATTTAACTCTTCCCTAAACGGTTTATTCACTACAATCTGTTTTGGTCTCTGATTCTCCAAAATCCAGGTTTTCCATTTAACATTTGGATTAGAATCTAGCTCTCGGTGTGTTTGTGGAAAATCTGTCACATGTTTTGAAATAGCAGTAAGAAGATTAATATAATTTGAGTGTATTGTAGATACACAAACATTATGAGGAGTTTCGTTGACTGGCAAAACGTAAGCAGGTCTTTCATTATAAAAAAGAGTCTTGCCAATTGATATTTCGGGAAAACTTGTTTGAAATAGCTCGAAAGCTTCACGGACGCTCATAATCATCGTCCTCTTCTGGATTCTTAATTTTTCTCCCGTGCTTGTTTTTATTGATTTAGCATCTTTTATTCCAGGCATTTGTATGCTAATATCATCCCTTTCATAAAAGTTACGAATTTTTTTTTTTACTTTATCTAGCGATTTAGAAAGCATCGTTTTAGGAGTATCGATGTCAGCAACTTGAAATTCCACAGCAATTTTTTTGACAACTTCAACTGCTTTAGTGGGACTAGCGGGTAAATTACGCTTCACTTTTGCTACTGCTTTTCCCAACGTACGAGAATTCTTATATGAAACTAGTGATGTGAAGCAAAGCATGTGCTCGTCAAATGCTCATCAATTGCTCGTCATTTGACGTCAATTGACCAACTAAAAAAAATGACCGCTGGTCATTTTTCGAATTAAATGGTGAAATAATTTAAAAACTAAATTAAAAAAATTTTTAAACTTGACCAAAAAATGACCGAAAAATTTTTGACGGTCATTTTCCATCTAGGTAGTTGAGCAAGGTAAATTTATTTACTACCGTCAGAATTTTTAGATAAATTTCGTTTTAAATATTTAAAATATTGAAGTTGCATATGAAATAGATTGGTTTGATTTTTTTTTTGAGAGAAATTTTAGTAAAAAGAAAAAAAAATGCTCATGAATTTTTGTGACTGACCAAAAAAAAAAAATGACGTCAATTGACGAGCATTTGCTCGTCAATTGCTCGTGATTTGACCAAAGTTGAAAATGACCGTCATTTCGCATCACTATATGAAACACTTGTTCTTCCAATTTTTGCTTCTTTACGACGTTCTCTTTTCGCCCGCATTCTTTCTTTTTGAACGCATTCTAGCCAGCATTTTTAACTCTTCATTTTCTTTCATATTTTTTTTCATAACTTATCTACGTTTCAAATCACGAGCCTTTTCTCAACTAAGATGGTTTGCAAGAAGTTTAGGATTTTCCATTAGTTTTCGTCTATATTGTTGAGAAGCAGTCTCCTTTTGCTGTTGTTCTGCCATTTCATTTGATCTATTTACACAAAAAAAGTAAAAAATTAACAATAAATTCTTATTAAATAGGAATCAGTAATTATAAATAACATATGAAGTTATCAAAAATTTGATAAATGAAAAATATATGACAAATAACAATGTAATCGTAAGAGTCATAACTGTTTCACCCGCGATTCTAATATTTTTAACGCGGGTGCAACTCATTTTAGTCAACGTTAATTTTAATTAAAATGACAACATACCTTTTATTGCGACTGAATCAAGTTTTCCTTATATTTCTTCTTACTTCTACAAAGATTCAAAAAATTACCAATTTATTTCTTCAAGAAAACCAAACTTTCATTTCTTTTATATCGCGGGTGCAACTGACCAACAATGGTTTCTTATTTAGTCAATATTGTTAAAAAAATAATAATAAATATTTAATTTTTTTATATAAGGCAATAAAAAAATGTTATCTTCAATGTTCATCAGTGAAATATAACCTCAAACCACCGGTAATAGCGATTTCGTGGAAAAATTATCGAGTGTCGATTAGGGTGGGCCAAAAAAAACTTTTAATTTTTTTTTCTTAGCCACTACGAAAATATCGTTCAAGATGACAAAAAAAATAATTCTGGTAAAGTTTCAGCCCTTAATATTAATATTAAGAGGTGACTTGTTGTGATTTTTGATTTCCCATTTAAATAACATAAGAATTTTTTTTTTGTTTGGATTTTTGATGCACTCGAACGAATGAATGTTTAGTAAAAATAAATAGATATTCTTGTAGGAAATTTAACGATCTACAAAAAAGGTCTGAAATGATTTTTCGCT